CCCACCATCATGATCAACAATCATACACATGTCATAAGACATCACATGCAATAATGCATCATACATCATACATGGTCTACCCACCATTATGATCAATAATCATACACATGTCATAAGACATCACATGCAATAATGCATCATACATCATACATGGTCTACCCACCATTATGATTAATAATCATACACATATGAACATATACTCATGCCATATCATATTTAAACATTCATATATATCATCACTATGCATACATATGAATCACACCTCACCATACATCATATATCATACATACATGTGTAGACACCCAATTTCATCCGGGGGCACAAAAACAAGGCATTGGACATCCGTTATGAAGGGAAGGAGCTCCCGAAGCAGACAAACAACAAGACAGGACATCAGAAGGCCTAAAGGCCAAATAAGGTGGTTTTAGTAGCCCGGAACGGGCTGTTCCAAAATCAGAACGGGCCATTTCGAACCCCGGAATGGGCCGTTCCAACGTGTCGAAAACACCTAAGGAGTTTCCTAGTCCATTATTGCTTCTTCTTGATTCACATCAACAAATAAATTCCCACTAGAATTAACTCCCCACTATCCCACTAGCTATCATTATGATATAGAAAGTCTAATAGCATTAAAAAAATGACCTAAGTAATATAAAAAGACATCTGAATTATTTGAATATAAAGAAATACAAAAATTACATTAATAATTTACAAAATGGACTTAAGCAACTATTTAGCCCAAAAAATAATTAAACTCTAGCCCATCAATGCTTCTTCTTGTACTTGTCATGTTATCTTCAAATTGAGCTCAAGCCTTCATTGAGGTTTAGAAAATAACATTAGATGATATCCCCATAGGCCTTATCATGCAAATTAGTCTATCTTCTTTATTCCTCAAATTCTTGCAAGTACAGCCTTTGGTAGATATAAAAAATAGGTTAGCTTATTTTCTTCTGACAACTCCAATCTAGATACATCGCATCAAAGGTCTCATGGTAATCAACAACAAACCCTTTCTGTCTAAGTCTCATCAGATCAACCATAAGATCATCATAAACCTCTCTAAATCTTTCAATTAAAATCCAACCAAATAGGTAAACTATTAATAGGAAAACTTTTCACCATAGATGTGTGCCATTGTAATGCTTTCCCTTCAAAATGAATTACAACTAATTTTGTTTTAATATCCTCAAGTGTTCTATGAATTGCAAAATAAGTTTCACAACGATAAATCCATTATTTCACCACATCACCATTAAAATGGGGAAATTCAATTTGGGCTAACCTCGTGCCACAAGAATAAGTGGAAGAATTTCGTGGAGTTGCTCTTGTTATCTTTACCTCCAATCCTTCTTCATGTTTCTTGATACATTCTTGAACTTGTTCATCCATGGATGAGTCAATCATTAATCATAGCAATGTCTAATCTCCATGAACTTTGCTTCCAATCGCGTTGGGACATGGTTCTCCAACCACTCTTCTTGTTCGTGTAATGCTGCCTGATTTCTTGTTCCATCTGCCATAATCATCATTGGAAGGTGCCAAGCTAATACCACTGATAGTATACAATTCTAGAAGAAGAAACTACTCGGAGAATCGTAAGAACTAAGGACTCTAATGATAGAATGGAACTTGAAAACTATATTGACTTGAGATAGAATTGAGAAATGTTTACAAATGAATTTGAATACCTTAACTTAGAATTACATTTTCCTATTCATAGCTATCAACTAATAATTGCCTCTAACAACTTCTAATAATAGAATTTAATCATACAACTCAGTGATAACAAAAATAACAGAATTTCCAACTATACAAAGTCCTATATCAATACCCTAATATAGAATAAACTATGTTGAAATGAGAGTAAAGAGTGAAAATGCAATCCAAGACAAGTGTAGCGTAGGGTTGGTCAAACGTGGAAAAGTCTACCAAAACTTAATAGTTTTCGTTAGGATCTACTTCTTTAGCATAATTTTAATTGATATATAGATAGCAATCAACATTGATTGATACAAGTGGTGACAATGTGTACTTTTTAAGTAAGATATTCAAGATTTAAATCATGACCTTGAGTATAGAATAAATTATGTTGAGAGTGGGAGTAAAGAGTGAAATTGCATCCCAAATCAAGTGTAACGCAAGGTTGTTTAGATGTAGAAAAGTGACCACCAAAATTTAGTAATTTCCTTTTATATTAATAGTTTAGTAATAGGATATTTCAATTTGGTATTTAGATGTTTCTTTAGCTAATTTATGTATTCTTGTGTTATTGATGTATTTCTTTGCAGTATTCTTTAATGAGAAACGCTAGTAGCATACTCTCGATCTAACATACTTTTCTTAATACACTCATTTTTATTAATTAGAATTTATTGAAATCTAATAAACTAAAAGCTAGAATCATTATAAGGAATATGAGACCTACTAAATTTTGTATTTTTTAATAAATTTCAACTAATTAAAAATAATATGTTAGAAAGTGTTTTTCTTGATTATATTATCAAACCACCATAAAAGTTTGACTTTTTTTTACAAATATATTGTATTGAAATAAAGATGAATGAGAAAATATAAAAATATATGATAGATTGAATTAAAAAAAAATGGAGTTGCAAGGTTAGAGTAATAAGATATTTAAATTGCTTTTAAGTAATGAAAATGATGCACTATTATGGGAAACCGTGAAATTTTATATAAAATTGCTTTTAACTGGATAACTAATTGAAAAGCAAGAGAATATATTAAAGGGGTCAAAAAATATACCAACACGAGATATATCGTTGGTTGAACCACAAATATGTCAGAATTTCAGCGCAAGCTTCAAATTTTTAGTTTAAAATATTTTTTCTAATTCCTATAGTTTAACTTTCTTTTTCTTTTAGTTTTTTAACTTAAAATAAGTCTTTTTTTAACTCATATTCTCATCTTTTTTAATCTTAATTTCTGTATTTACTTTAATCTTTACAATTTCTATGTCAGGATTTCAGCGCAAGCTTCAAAATTTTAGGTTAAAATATTTTTTCTAATTCCTATAGTTTAACTTTCTGTTTCTTTTAGTTTTTTAACTTAAAATAAGTATTTTTTTAATTCATATACTTATTTTTTTAATTTTAATTTCTATATTTACTTTAATCTTTATTGTTAATTTTCTTTGTAACATTATTTATTTTCTACTGACATAACACAAGTATTAATTCAATTTTATTTTTCTAATATCAAATTTATTAGGCCAAAATTCCTCTAAATAAGGTCTCTCAAGTTTTATATCTCTTTTATACTTTTACTTACAATGCTAATTTTTTAGATATATTTTTTTACTCTCACAAAATTAAAAAATCTTTATAACATTAATACAAAACAAACATTACTCAAAAAATATAACAATAAAAATTAAAAGAATTTAAATAGTATAAGTATAGAAACTTTTAAAAAAAATTATAAACTATAAAGACTAAAAAAGGTTTTAAAAATAATTAGTATATAAATGATGGACCATGGGCCAAAGGCACAATCATTAGAGCTATGGCCAGGAGCATTCAAGAAGGATTGGACAACTTGAAGACTAGTGGGCTCTCTAAGCCCAAGGTATTATTCATTTGGACCAACCTATCATGAAGAGAAGGCATGACTCTGTTGTATATAAACTTGTACATAGTTCCATTATATAGGCTTATTTTTGCCTTTATATTCGTGAGGCACTTTATTTCATTTTATTGATCATTGTATATTGTTTCTAGGGTAGGTTACTTGGAGACTTTGACTCCATTTAACCTAATTTTGGAAAATACTCTTTTTTTATTTTTCAGTAGTAAAAGTGGGGTGACAATTACTTGAAGGTGTGATTAGTAATTGGGCCTAGGCAAAATTTTATATGTTATACTAAAAAAATATTTTACTAATTAATATTAAACTTCATTATTTATCATGTATAGATTCGGTTGTCTGAAATGCCACAATGAAGTTCAAAACCTCCATACATGTCAATAGGTAGGACTACCACATGTCCATTGTCCCTACCTATTTCTATGTAACATTCGTTTCTGTTTTTAATTTACAAAAAAATTAATAAAACTAAACTATTTATCACCAGGAAATCATAATAATCCTAAATCACCTAATAATTACGGTACCAAGTGGGACAGTAGCATAGAACAGTTTCTCGACAACATTTTCCACTACACCTTAACTAGCCATTTAGATGTGACCTAGAAACTGAATTCATTAATTAGAGGCAGTGTATGGGATTGAATGCAACTTTGTTTATTTTGATAGGGCATATCAGAATGATTAAATAGAAAAGTTACAGGAAATGGAATGGGATTCACATGTATGTCAAGGCTGAAAGTGTTTTTGACAACTCGAAAGACTCTTTTTCTCGCTACTAATTTAAGTAACTAACAAGTAACTCAAGGGGCACACGAAACTAATTGTCCACCCACACCAATCTTCAAGACTATATTTTCTTCTCATCCTATAGAGAAAAGATGTTGGGTCCTATACATTCATCCATGGCACATTTTATAGTTGTAGGAATTGGGAAATTTGCATAATTTACCTCCCAATACCGATTAACTAGTTCCAATTAAATGGAGATCAAGATGTAGAAACATGAAGGTACAGACTACAAAATTTAATCTATCTGCAAGTCAGAATTGCAAACTGGTGATATGCACAACATTCATGTTTGGTCCATCTACCGGAAGAGTCTCGAGGCTGATCTCTTGAAGACTTTACCTTCAAGCTTTAGTCGTCTATATGCTTCTCTCAGATGACAAGGCCGGATTGGTCCAGATTCCTTCCTCTCTTTCATAACTATTCTAGCTGCAAAATATAGTATAATGCAATTGATTAATGGAAACACTGTTTAGAAATAGTATTTGTTTGCATTTTGTAATGATTTTAGAAGGAAGCAGCTCATTGTAAAGGAAAAACCATCCATACCTGATTCAACAACTTCACCAACAAACAGTTTTGCAATGCCTGATACCACAATCGTCATTGGCACAGAAATTTTCTGGGTCCCAGTGATGCTAGCCAATAACTGCTTGGTAGAAAAGAAAACTTCTATGTAATTTTAGCTTATTATATTCTAAATTACAAATGCAAATTTGGATGCAAAATGATAATCTGTAAACTTCAGTAAAATTACATTACAGGAATGCAAAAAGCAGCAATATTTTCTTTTCATATATAAAATGGTAGATAGGAGATAACACTCCCACGATCCACCAAAAAGATTTCACCTTTTATACCAAGAGATCTCTTTGAGTAGGTATGCTTACCTAAGTAAGATTTTAATAGTCACAGCAAATGTCAAAGTTGTATCATGTGAAATGCAAGCTCAGACAGAAACCTAGACCATTTGTGCTAACCCACAATGGCAAAGAAAAAAGAAAAAGAAAATCAATATGCACCACCAAGCTGACAAAAAGCCATTTTGAATAACCTAGGATAAAGTGCAATGGCTACCTCAAGCGGCTAAGAATTGGACAAAGTACAATTGTAAATAATCAAACAATTTAAACTTTTCACATTTCACAAACCCTAAACCAAAATAAAGTCTCAACTATCAAATCAAGGACTAATTTATTTTCACATAAAGTGACTTCCACGGCAAAAAAAAAAACATTATTTTAACACCAAAGCGATACTGGGAGCATCTTGTGGCATTTGACAAAACAGAATAACATAATCATTTACGAGTATAGACATAAAATTGAATTTTTCCTGGATGAGCTCCGGAGAAAATAAAATAGAAGGCAAGGTGAAGATGCAGTTTGCAGTGGAACGATGGAATGAGGTTACGCAGTGTGTTTGTTTGAGATTGACAAGAAAAGGCATAAAAGATACCCTTTTCATGTTAGCTTTCTGAAAGCCAGCCCTGCGGAAGGACTCGTATCTACTCATCTGGTCTTCGGTGAATTGGGAGAGAATCGCCCTGAAGAAAAGGAAAGGAAATTAGAAAATAATAATAAATAGGTTAATTGGAAAATTGAAGTTGCTTAGGTTACTCACTGCATCTTGGCCATTTTGTGAGGGTCACCAGCGGAAGGAAGCTTCGCAAGCTCCACGTCCATGTTGTCTTCTTCCTCCTCCTCTTCCTCGTCCTTTTCCTTGTCCTTGTCCTTGTCCTTCTCTTTGTCTTTGTTCTTGGTGGCGCTCACCTTCTGAGGCTGTGGAAGCGGTGGCGCAGAAGAAGAAGAAGGAGGGTTTTGCGTCTCCGCCTCTGCCTCCGCCTCCGTCTCCACCGGGGACTCCGGCGGCGATTCCTCGAATGCTGCTTCGAACGGATCCTTTGATTGCTTCATTCTAATCACAAAGATTGTGGATTTGGTGTGTATCTATCAGATGAAGAGGAGAGGGTTTTGCAACCGAGAGAGAAACTGCGTGTGTTGTGTGTCATGGGATTCAAATACAATATCTCACTTTTCTTCGAACCTTTATAATAATTTTTTATTTTAATTTAGTCTCACTTTTATTTTTAGTCTCAATTTGATCCCTAATAAATTAATTAGTTATAATATTGGACTTCCGTCGAAATTATTTAGACAGCGTTAACTGTTAGCCACGTGGATGTTACGTGGAATCCACGTGGAAGCTACGTAAATGTCACGTGGATGTTAAATTTTTGTCATATATCTGGAACTAGAACGACCCATTCTAAAACTAGAATAGGTCGTTTTGGTTTCAGAACGGGCTGTTTTTGTTTCAGAACGGGCAGTTCTGGTTCCAAAATGCCACGCCGATGATTATACCCATAAATTTTAAATCGTGAAGACAATACTTATTCATATATTTGTAATATTAAAAATTTTATATATAATTTTTAAAAGTATAAATATATATTATAGTTATTTTTTACAAGTTTTTATATCTACAATTATGATTAAGGATGAAAATAAATTAGGTCAGATTATGTTATATTATAATTTAACATATTTAAACCTAATTTTTTGTTAAAAATACATGTTATAAATATTATATATTTATCTGTTATAGACATTTTTTAAAATGTTTGATTACACAACAATCTTAAAAACCTACTTAATAATAATTTAACACTAATAAAAACATATAAATAAATATGTTTTTTTAAGGAATATAAATAAATATGTTAAATCTTATAAAAGTAAGTTTAATTTATTTATCATATAAAAATGTTTTTAATATGTGTTATAAATTTTTACAATTTTAATTTCTTTTTATCAACATAAATAATAAATAGAAAGTACAAAAGTTTGACAAATATCGGATAAATGAATAACTCCTCGAAATTTATATTTTATACGTACGATAATTTAAATATATATATATATATATATATATATTAGGATATAATTTTTATTTTTTAGATAAAAAAAATGTGTATGTGTAAATGGTTCGCTTTCGATTTTTGAACCACACTGGTGCACTATGTTGGTTGGCGTTCTAGAACGGTCCGTTCTGAATCTAGAACAGCCTGTTTTGGAAGCCAGAATGGCCCGCACGCGTTGGTGTTAAATAAAAATAATGCATCTTGAACGACCCGTTCCATATGCAAAATTTACACACCATAAATGAAACCGGAACGGGCCGTTCCGTATTTAGAACAGGTCATTCTGGTTCCAGATGCATGACAAAATTTGACATCCACGTGGCATCTACGTAGTTTCCACGTAGCCAATAGTTAACTTCGTCTAAATAATTTGGACGGAAGTCCGATATTGCAACCAATTAATTTATTAGGGACCAAAAATAAAAGTAGGACTAAATTGAAACAAACAATTATTATAAAGGACTAAAATAGGTTTTTAGCCTAAAGGAAATAGTGTTTATCTCTTAACTTTAAATATTAATCTTTTTAGTTTATATAATTTGAAAAACAATAAAAGGTAATTAAATAGATTAGCTAAGAGATAAAAAAAATAAAAATAAATATTATTTTTTTTTATTAAAGTTATAAATTACATGTGATTAAAAAAATAAAAATAAAATTATAATTTGTAAAAAGTTATATACTTAAAATTATAAAAATGGGAATACGAATAAGATAATTTTTTTTATTAATAATATAAATTAAAGATATTATATTAAATTTAATTCATACAGTACAATCGATTTAATTGATATTATTAATGATCATGTCTTAAAGAATTAAAATAATTGTTTTAAAATTATATGGATAAGAAAGATTAAGTTTATTTATGGTTCAAAAGTAAATTCACTTCAAATTTAAATAGTAAGATATGTTTTAACTTTTATTATTTTATAAATTTCTTTTTTTTAATATATGTCTTGATATTAGAACTTAAGATAATTTGAATGATTTTATTTTATTTAACATAATTTTTTAAGATTAATAGAAATTGAGTTTAAATTTTTCTCTCACGTGATCAAAACAATTCAATCCACACGTGTTGAATTCATTATAATTTATTCATAAAATCACATTAACAAAATATTTAATCAATATCATGTCATAATTAATTAGAGAAAGAGTAAAATAAGGCGATGTGAAAAAAGAAAATTGCAAGTTTAAGGAACATCAGCTCTTCTAAGATTTCTGAGAGTGAGGAAGAAAAAATGGATCAACGTAGCACAAAGAAGGTTAAGACAAAGGATGGTGAGGTGGTGTTAGATTCCACCATGGATGATCAAGGGGCTAACTCCCTAGTTGCGGGGAGTCTGAAACACTCATATGCTAAGAGTGTGTTGGCTACGGATGGTAGATGTATCCTTTCTGATTATAACGCTTTGCTGAAGGAGATGGAAGAGCATAATGAACTAGTTGAGGAGGAAGAGAACCATCTAGTGGATGGAGACTCTAACCCTGATCCTTATCCAACAATTAATGTTACTCAAGAAGAGTTTGAGGAATAGTGTTCCCCATGGAAGAAAGCTCTGATCTGTTAAGTCAGACGAAGCAATTCCCAACAAGGTTTTGAATGAGACAAATATAATACATGTTATTTCTAACAAGTATGTTAGTGTTTCAGAAAAACATAAGTACAAGTAAGATGAAGAATAGAGCATGTGCCACTTCCTACACCAGAACCAAGATAAAGGGTAAAAGCTTCAAGCATCAGATGGAAAGGTCAAATGAAGCCAAGCCTAGCACAAGAAGTAAAATGATCAAGCTTCAGACCATACAAACCACAGATGAAACTTCTTTAAGTACAAGACGAAGATTAGTCAAAGCAAAGCACATCACGAGGATCAGACAAAGCGAGTCAAATGATAGATAGAGTAACACATGAGCGCCAGACGATGATAAATCAAATATTAGACAAAGGTTTGTCAAGGATAACCTAGAGCGCAATATAAGAACTCAGACGAAGGTTGGTCAAAGATCAGAAGAAAGTCAACTAAATATCAGATGAAGGACAACACAGACTGAAAAGTATTCCATACGGAAACAAAGTTTGTCCATCTACAATGTTGACCAGACCAAAGAAAGTCAAAGCATTAATGACAAATGTGTTAGAAAAGAATGGCTTAATCAAAGAGGTGGGTGAATTGGATTCTGTGACACTTAAAAGATTTTCAAAGTTCTAAGGATCTTTATTTCAACTTAAACTTTTCTAATATGAATTCTCAAAAAAGTTCCTTGAAAGACTTGCCAATGGGAATGAGTCCTATATGCTTTCTTGATTAATCTTGATTAAGTCCAATGTTAAGAACAACTAATATGCAATACTTTGATTCAGTTTAAAGCAATGTTATGCATACAAACATATTAATCAAGACCAGCCACTTTAACACTCAACCAAGATTTTGCTCAATGTAAAAGATAAAAGTGAGGGAGAAGAATGCACAAGTATTTTATCCTGGTTTAGCCACTCCACATGTGACCTACATCCAGTCCTCAATCATAACCTGATCAAGATTTGTTCCACTATCTCAATGAAGAAGTTTTACAAGCATACCACACATGCATATACTCCTACATTCAAGATAACCACTTTCTTGCCCCCAAGAAAGCACTTCTTGTAGAAACCCACTGCAAGAATTTCTTACCACTTGAGACACCTACTCAAGATTTCCCTTACACTTTACAAAGGAATTAAAGGAACGAATTCACCTGGAAGATGAACAAATCAGACTGTGAATTCCAAAAGCAAATCTTAACCTTCCACTCCCAAGAATGTAGTGATGATGATGATCTTTTTCAAAGCATTTCACAAAATGTTTTTCTTCTTGGTTTCACAAAGAAAACACTCCAAGAAGGTCACAAGGACTTCGGAATATAGTTTTTCTCTCGTTGATTCTCAATTCTTTCTCTATTCTGAAGTTTCAAAGTGTGAAAGCTATTTATAAAAATTTCAGAACCAGATAATCGATTATTTTAAAGGATAATCGACTATTTTATTTTTCCTGATTTATGGAAACCACTCAAGAACAAAATAATCGATTATTTTGCAGGATAATCGATTATTCTAGAGTGTACTTCCTAGAATAATCGATTATTTCACAGATAATCGATTATTACAGCAAGGCTCTTTTCACCAGTTGTTGGAATAATCGATTACACTTAATGATAATCGATTATTTTGAGTTACTTTTCAAAAACTCAATCTTATACTTCAAAAATATTTCCAAGTATTTTAAATCATCATCATACTCACTCTTAGTCAATTTAGATTAAAATTGTAACGACCCGCCATGGTCTCTACACTTAGTGGAATCGCACTACTGCTAGTGAACTAAGAAAAATATTAAGCTGGATAACTCATACATATAGGTATAAATAAGAATGAAAATAACTAAGTTTCTAGTTATAAAATAGAACACCATATATATACAGTCATCCCAAAAATAATATTCCCTAGTGCCGGTCAAGCACAAACAAAACCGTTACCCAAAATGGTAACTCTAGCACAAGGATCAAACTGCCTGTCTCGCAACAGTCACCTCAACTCCAAGCTAGCCTTGACCTGCTCCCATACAAGGTATGATCATCGCAGTCCATCCACATGGAAATAGAAGGGTAAGCTAGAGTTCAAAAAATCAATCATACAAGTATAGAACAATAATCTATACTACACAATCATCCAACTATCAATCATATTCATAGTCACGTCATACACTCTATCCAATACTACTCATGCATAAAATACAATCCACCAATCATGAAGTCAAACACCACACTTCATCATATTAATAATCATGCAATAAATGCTTCTCATGACAGATATCAATGCATATCAATCATCTAATGCGTCGTCACGCATACACCTAGGAGATCTCCCTAACCACAAAGCTGTATAAGTGACATCCTATCCTACCAAAATCACCCCAACCGTTTTCACGCCCAATACACCTGCTCGGTCACAGCTAAGCAGGATATAATCCTCACTCGGGTTTTCTCGAATGATGTCACTTACACAATGGAAGTCCAGATCCACTGTCAGGTATAACACAGCTGGGT